ATCTTACTCTTATTCTAATGTTGTTCTTGGCTGTCGACTCACAACGAATTGATCCTAGCTACCCTATCTTGTGGCCAAACACTTGCATCATTCTGGCCTCGGTCACCTTCCTGCCACATGTCCCTCATGCCGGTTACATGTGATCGTTGAAAAATAGGCTCGGCATCGAATTGCTTATGTTTCCGCCGGAACACCAGCGGGCGGAAAGATCAGTTCGTGTGTGCGTTCTGGATACAGGCATAGCCTTTGCTCTATCGGTTCTTGTCTCGAATGGCAGCTTCCTCTAACTCTCTATCGATCGAGTGGACAGGATGTCAATTATAAAGCGCTTGAGTTTACATTTTTAATCTTCGAGGCTGTCTTTGCTGCAAAACTCATCTCAATTTCTCCATGTAGCAATTTCTTTATAGCCTTTAATTGATTTTCCATATTGACCACGTAGATTGGAATTTAGACGATAAACTCTTTCTCTCTCTTGTATCTTGTGTGTCTTGACTGTCTGGCTGCGAGTTGGTGCCTACATTCGCCTTAGCATGCTGTCTTTGTGGAACTGCTAGTTGTGGATAGTTTAGTAATGCCAAATTTACATGTTTTTTTTCCATTTTGAGTTGCACGAGATAAGTATAATTGCATCGGAAAGATAATTCTTTACCATAATAACTTTTATTTGGACCGGTAATTGATGACTTCACCTTTTAAAATGCCAACTCTACTATATAAAGTGTCCTGCATCCTAACGACAGAGGAGATTGGATTATAGCATTTGTTGGCACCCTCAATAATGAATCAGAATATGGTCAATTAAATATATTTTTAGTTTTGCCTACACTACACTACTTAAGTGAACACAAGCCCTTTAGTGGCGGATATGCTGACATACTATTTGCTTCGAATAATGCTTTAATTAGACGACCTCATGCAATATGCTCGAATGTGGAATCATCACCGTGTGTTTTCTAGTGTCATAGGGAATAGATTTATCAAACCATTATAAAACGAAGTATATCTGATCTGTAACGGATTTGTTCTTCTGTAAAGGCTAGATTATTTTCCGCCTACGTATTTTTTTCTCTGAAAACAATCTCTTGCAGTACTATGGTTTCCAATTTGGGAGTAACTTTATAAGTTTTAAGAATATTTTGAACTGGTCAGCTCATACGATATAATGAGGGTATCGCCTATTCATTTCTGAAGTTAGGACTGAACCTTATACTTCTTCTCCTCTTCCCCTATTCCATCCAAGCTATCAATGCCTTTTGGATAAAAAAACATAATAATATTCATGTTATATTGTTATCATTTTATAATCACCTGCGCCCTCTTCTCCTTTGCCTGATTCTTAGATCCTGACCTTGCTATGACTGGCCGTTTGGTGCGCTCAGAGTCGACAAGTGTACTTTCGCAGACGGATGCCGGGCTAATGAGAAAGTCAGTCCATATGCCCCATATGGTTGCGCAGAGTGAGGCCGCCCTAGATGCAAGCAAAGAGATTAAGGACATCATCGAGAAGGGACATGTCTCAGGTAAGTTGGAATTCATTAGTTATGCTGCCCTACTTTTCGAATTGAAAAATTTAATAGTGTGGTCTATTGTATGTTGTGGACTCCCTAAAATACAGCCAATTTTGCAGAAATGTTATTTTATAATATTAAGCTTGAGGCAATTTCCCTTATTATGTTGGACTACCTATAATTTCGTTTGAAGAAGCGAGGGGAGAGGAATTGTAAGTTGGCCTCACCGGAGGCTGTAGGGGGATTGCCTTGGAGCTGTGATTGTAGATTTTGCGAATAGCTCATCGGCGCATCGCCCAGCGACTCTGATGAATACTTGCTTAGCTTTCATCCGTTATGTAGCGGACATCGTCAGAGCAGGACATCATGCTTAACAATAATTCACCAAGCACAACGACGGAAAAGGTAGCTGGCTGCAATCCCACCTGCTTTTTATAGTTTGGCAAGATCCACTTAGTGCGATATTTCATAATTTGGTTGGAGATCCTATGCTTTTTCTATGTGCTGTTAAGATATGGAGTGACTGCAAATGAGGCGTAAAACGTATGCAATTGTTTAATCCTGCAATAGTGCCCCATATGATTGCGTTGGATTGCATGCGTGTTGTATTCATGCAGTTATCGTAAGACGCGTGTGTTCACATTCCATCCGCAGCCACTTCACGTCTCAACAGAATATAGGAAGGGTATAGGATCTCCAACTAAATCATGAGACGTCTCACTTGGTGGATCTAGCCAAACCATAAAAAGTAGGCAGGATTGCAAACGGCCAATTTTCTTGCCTTTGTGCTTGGTAAATCATCGTAAAACATGGTTTCCTGCCCTGACTATGTCCTTTACATGACGACGAAAGCTTAGCAATATTCAACGGTGTCGCAAGGCGGTTCGCACATATCTACAATCACAGTTCTAAGGTTATCCCCCTACAGCTTCCGGTGAGGTCAACTTACGAATCCCTTCCACCCGCCCTTTGAAGTGAAATGAAAAGTACTCCAACATGAATTTATTGACCTATTTGTTT